TTGTTTAAATTCGAAGCAATCTGAAATACATCGAATTTTTCCTACACGAATCCGAAAATAAAACCAACCTAGTAAACTTGTACTGTTTTTTTTATTATTATTATTAAACAAAACATTGTTTATTTTAAAAGATTGGATAAATTGAAAGCTATATAAGTACTGGCCATTCACGCTGTAGCTTTCGATATTTATATTCGATGTAACTATACTGAGACCTTAGAACTTATATCTCAAGGTGGGTGGCGCATTTACGTTGTAGATGTCTATGGGCTCCGGTAACTACATAACACCAGGGGGTCTGTGAGCTCGTCCGACCATCTAAACAATAAAAAAAATTTGCGACGTATTACTGGCGAAAAAGTAGATCCGTAGTTGGTATATTTAGTTGAGATCCGTCATAACACCCATGTCTTCTCGTTTTATTTAAAACTTATGGGTATACTTTATTTCCTTTGATGTTCGCGAGTCGCGCGATATAATTAAAACTTATTTTATTTTCATTTAATAATTTCCCTTATTGCGAATACTTTTCAGTTTTCTTCGGCACGGTCGTAAAGCATTATACGTTAACATTTAAATATTGTTTTAACTATCGTCTAATTTTGTACAAAAAAAATTTTTGCGCTCATAGTTTTTTTTTTGACACAGAAAAATGTAACATTTCTTGTATCCTAGGAGTTTATTATTTGCTATATTACTTGCGCTTTCATCTCCACGATCGAGAATAAAGCTTAAAATTAATTTTAATGTTATCTATCACTATTTATGCTTCATTATATAAATAGGCATATTTATAGTATAAAAAATGTATTAGTTTCTTACAAAAAAGAAAATTATAAGAACAAAGGTGAGCTTAAACAAAACATAAAAATCATTTAATACCACTGTAGGAATATATATACGACAAAGGGAAGATCTTCCACCGAGCGGATGATATTGCTCGGTAGACCGACGGTCCAAATGTTGTTGTTCGGAACTTGTATATATGCGCTTTATCTTGAAAATGTCGTAAGCGAGATTCAGGCATCTGTCAATTATCTTGCGTAGTATGATGGCTACCCACCACACCACTAATAAGGAAATTGTATTCAAATAATTACACACTGCAGGAAAAATAAATATCCCAACAGATAAAAAACAAATGTTGCAGAACGTGTTTATAATATCTATTGTAGAAGTGTTTATATTTCATCATGATCAGCCCACATTCGTCCACTGTTGGACATACTCTTCTCCCAAACCACTTATGCTTGAATCAACGATTGGCTTTCTTTTTGTCTTAATGCCTCTGCCCTAATTTTCTATTGTATATGTGCTTGTGGAAGGATAAATGAAATTAAATAATTTTCATGAAAATTTTTGCTTTTCTTAAATTGACGATTAGAGCAAATTTGGTATAACGTACATCAATGGGAATATATTAAAAGGAATCTCATTTTTTATTGACTCTGGAATATCAGTACGCGGATTAGGTATTGACAAATATCACCCAAGCCATATAAAGAATTCAATGATTTCAATATAATATTATACATTATATCAGATATCGCCTTTGTGAACATCAGATTGTGACTATCAGGAAAAAAGAATAAAAAAACGTTTTTAAAGGATTACCGTGATTCGAATTCTCGACATTGATGCTAGTATAAGTCAATCTTCGGTGTCCATTAAGCAAAATACGGGTATGGGAATTCCAATTCCTAGACTTACAGCTTCTATGAGCATTACCCGCAGCTAAATTGTTTCTTAACTCCACCCTAACACCTAATCCCAAATTATTATCTGAAGTACGATTTACTGTATGTTGAGATTCTGCACTACAAATAGTCCTGCTTTAGTCAATGCTTTAAATACACGTATCATCAGTATCGTTGTGGCTTAGAAGAATACATCTTTTATTTGTAAAAGAATAAATACTAGACTAGGTCCCGCAGTAGTCGAAATTCGACTATAATAATTAATTGGAATTGTAAGTTCGTACACTATTATGATTGTATTTTATACTTCTATAATCACAAATTTCGCCAAGAATACACTATAAAAAATATTAACAAAGACAAACAATATTTAATCTATTCTCAATTTGACAACAGACGTCAAGAACAAAAGTTTGACAATAAATAGTATGCATGCGTGTGTGCGTCAAATACATGGTATGTAGTGTGTGTAATGTTTTCTTTATTGATTTAATATATCTTTTATGCATTATTTAAAAAAAATATTAGCATTGTGTACTTCTTCTCTATATTCTCTATAAGTGTGGAAAATTTCATACTCCTCCGTCCGCACAATTTTCGTAAAAAGGGATACAAAGTTTTTGCTTCACGTATTAATATATAGATATTTGAGTATTATAAACGCGAACGTAAAGAAAAATATTTTCTGTATTACCGTGTAAAAGGAATACGATGCTTATATCCCGCGACACTAAAAGCTTTTGATATTTATTACCACTTAAATTATGTTATGAATAGTAGTATTGTGTTTCATGAAAAGATCTAGTAAGTAAAATACAAATTTTGTCATTTGCTTATTGATTAGTGTTTTGTTTTCATTTGTATATTTTTCATCAACTTGGACACAATAAATATGGAACACGAGTTCCATCGCGGTAGCAATGTAGCAATGACGCGTGCGGAGAGAACACACAAACAATGCACGACTCGTTATTACTTTGACCGCTTCCGACATGGAAATTTTGATCAAACAAATGAGCCCCGTTTTCGCCCAAATGCTAATCCGTTAAGGTGTACTATACCCAATCGTTCTTAGCCTCAAGGGCTATTCCAACTACGCGCGGATCGATAAATGAGCTTCCGAGCTCAACTTGAGAGAGATTCTAACACTGACTCTTGGAAGAGCAGTGCTTCGCTAAATCAACCACCAGATTGGGATTGCGACCCGCTGAAGAGACCCGATGAGAAACTCAGTGGGTGCAGAGATGAAGGGGTTTTGAATCGTATTGTTACTTGCGATGAAAAATGGATACCTTTTGATAATCGCAAGTGGTCTTTATGTTAGACAGATCTTGGTTTATCACCTAGGCAATTACCAAACGAAATTTTACCCCTAAATAAGTTACGGTCATTATTTGGACCACTTATTGGCGGGAAAAAATTCCATATCCAAGAGGCAATACAAAATGCATTTGAAAAGCTGGTTGGCTTCCGTACATTTAACGTCTTAAAGAAGGTCATTGATAAATTACCTTGCGTCGGCAAAGATGCCTTGATACCGTGGGTGCATATTTTGATTGATAGAAAAAAAAAACTTAATTTTTTGTGTACTAACGACAATTTGGTAACGACTTATTCATGAAATAAACTGTTTGGAATTCGAAGTGTTTTCTTAATTGTTTTAGACTTTCGCAGTCATTTACATTATAAACATTATTCTTATTTAATACACGCCTTACTACAAATTTTAAATGTTATTCCGTTCTTTAGGCTAGAGATACAAAACCCTGTTAAAATCTCTGTTCAGATCAGGTCGAGTGGAAAACGTTCTTACTGAATTATTAGCCTGATATAATACAATAAAGAACCAATCACAACCCCTCTCCCAAAATTACTTCAATAAGAGAATTTTTCTCTTAAAAATAATATTTGTTCGAAAATACCGGAGTTTAAATAAAACGATTCATAACTCAGAATCTCCTTACGTTCATACTTCAATACTTCAGATACCGACGAGTTCTGATAGCTTAACTTGACCCTTGGCAGATTGTAAGTCGTCCATAACCTATTTTATGGCAATATCAAGTCGGCATTTTGGGCCGGTTGCGTTTTACTCGAACCTCAAGGGACTATAAAGATCAAGACAGGCGATAAGTTGCGACCTTTAGTCCTATGCTACCAACATTATAAGTTGGTCAGTTTTATGGAAATTACCTACAAGTTTAGTGTCTTTTTTTACTTATTCTATGAGATTTTTTTTTCAGTTTAGATGTGTAGACGAACTCACAGTCCACTTGGTGCTAAGTGGTTACTGGAGCCCATAGACATCTACAACGTGAATGCGCCACACACTTTGAAATATAAGTTCTAAGGCCTCAAGTATAGTTACAACGGCTGCCCCACCCTTCAAACCGAAACGCATTACTGCTTTACGGCAGAAATACGTGGGGTGGTGGTACCTACCCGTGCGGACTCACAAGAGGTCCTAGCATCAGTGAGAATTAATTATTAATCACAGCTCTAGAATCTATAAGAATAGTACCAGTATAATTGTACTTAATAATCAATCTTCATATTATAGACACATATAAAATATTTGTGTGCGATAAGAGAATGCAAATCCGTCGACTAAAGTTAAATTGTTTCGTAATTGAAAGCTAAGCGCTTGACCGTACCTGCAGTGCTTATGAATTCAGTGAGACTTTTGCTCGTTCACCGTTATGAACAGCACATCGTAGCTTCGTAATCTGCGTAAAGCCTTTTAATCTGACCCCGTCCAACGCAAAGAAGTATTTGCATTTCAAATTTCGGATTACACAGTTATCCGTGTATAATTGCGTAAAATTACGTCAGAAAGTCAAGCGAATCCAATGCTATTTATTTATTGGAATGAAGTTCCTTATGGGACGATGTGGAGGGGTACCCTAACAGGGAAAAAACGTCCGTAACGTAAGATTTTAATAATTTATGTATAGTCTTAGTATGATGACTATACAATGTCTAATGTATAGTCTACGTGATGACGGTTATTATTACTATTATTCATATAAATAGCAGTTTCTTTGTATATTATTATTATATATTTTTTATAAATCATTGTGAATAAAATGAAGTTGATAACTTTGTAAAGTAGTTCTTTTTTTTATCAATTAAAAAAATCATAATAAAAAAATGTATACCCGAATAATTATTTTCTTTATACCTCGAATAGAACTTAAAATTAATATTTTTATAGTAAGGAACTTCGTTCCTATCCGTTGTCCCACGACACCGCACGTCTTTTTTTTATTTGAACTTTGCCATAGTTCAACGCGTTCGTTTCAGGTCTCTTTGAATATTCTCATATGGAATTCAACGCAGAGCGCGGGGCGCTTGTTGACGCAGAAGAGGGAAGCGGAACGAGCACAACTGTGAAAGCCGACGACCCTTCTCTAGCCGACATGACTCGAGCCGCCCTTTCAATATTACTGAAAAATGACAAAGGATTTTTCTTGCTTATTGAAGGTCCGTTCAGTTTCACTTAGAAGAATACAAGTAATATGTGTCAAAGATATTTTTTTTATAAAAGAAAAACATTGTAGTATGTACTGTTTCATGAAAACTTATTCGTTCTAGGCGGACGTATAGACCACGCTCATCACTACAATAATCCGTACAGAGCTCTCGATGAAACGTTAGAGTTAGAAACCGCATTATTGGCTGCACTAGAGAGGGTAAATCCGGCGGAAACTTTGATCGTAGTAACCGCCGATCACGGTCACGTAATGACCTTTGGCGGTCAAGCAACGCCAAGAGGACATCCTGTCTTGGGTAAGATCACCTTTCACGAAAATATGAACATCAAAATGTAATAAATCGTTTTCCGGGTATCAAAGGTACATAATATTGCCCAAGAAATATTTCCGCTTGTATTGTCCGATATAATAGATGTGGTTTTATCGAAAATGTAATTTGATGAAATCCTAAAGGTGCTGACACAGTGGTATCGGACATAGATGGACTACGCTACACGACTTTGTTGTACGGAACTGGACCTGGTCATTCTGAGCCTAGAGCGTTGCCGTTCAATTCAAGTAGCTCAACAAATCAAGCTGATGCGGTCCACGCTGCAGCTGTTCCAAGACAATGGGCTACGCATGGTGGCGAGGACGTACCAATATACGCATTAGGTATATATACAGCATCAAATTTTGTAAACGATGAATTTCGTATAAGTAAAACGATTGAAACATTCACCACAGGTCCGATGGCTACAATTTTATTTGCTGGAGTTGTAGAACAAAGCTACATACCTCATGCCATAGCATATGCAGCTTGTTTGGCGCATCACGCAAAGCGCTGTCAAGAAATAATCAACTTTACGCAACCTTTAATTAAAGTAAGCATCAAGAATATTTTATAGTGTTTTTTTATTTCACACAGCTAAAAATACTTGATACTGCAATTAGCACATTCAATAAATAATTTTGGGTCTTTTATAAACTATTCAAACCAGAATATGATTCAGACGAGTCCATGAATAATTTATAATTAGTACCTTTGTAAAATGTTAATTATAGTTTTTATTAAAATAAACTATTCGTTCTGCAGGAAAAAGTAGCAAAATGCGTTCCGCCCGAAGTAAGTAGTGTTTCTGCGGCGGAAGACGTGAGAATCGACAATCCGAGTGGCCGTCGCATCGTGGTCGCGTCGAGCGTCATGTCCGACGAACGTGTACCGCGTTCTGCCGCTCCGCTTATCGCTACGCTTCTCACGGAACGCTACCTTATCTTAAGCATACTTAAATTGGTCGGATTCTTACGGATCGCTCGTTTTATCTTAGGCCTATAATATCAATATCTATAAATAAATACGATATAATAAAACATCAGTGAAACAAACGACACGATTACGATTTGGTATCCGTTATTGTTTGTTTAAACGTTCAATACGTGTGCCGCTCGATGTATTATGATGTAATGTGTACAAATTATGTGTTGTATATAGACAGAGAGGAAATTGTAAATAATTCGAGATGTAAATAAAAATATTCATTATTTTACTTGTACTTTTATTGAGTCAATAGTTACACTTTAATAATATTTGTATTTGTTTTATTTATTTATTCAAATTCATACACAATACTAATATAATCCCCAAAGCATTCTGTACCAGTCAACCAAGGCTGCTGCAGAGTTCAGTTCTGCGGTATGTTTTGCTTTACTGTGAAAAAGGAACAATAATAAAAATTAAATTTCAAATACATTACATATGCACAATAATAAATAATATACACAAAACACACAGTATGCATACGTACACACGTATATCGAAGGATGAAAGGCAAATAATAAAACTTGGCTTAAGCAGAATATTTGCAAATTTAGAGCCAGCCAGGATTTTTTTTTATTGCCTAGATATGTGGACGAACTCACAGCCCACCTGGTGTTAAGTGGTTACTGGAACCCATAGACATCTACAACGTAAATGCGCCACACACCTTGAGATATAAGTTCTAAGGTCTCAGTCTCAGTATAGTTACAACGGCTGCCCCACCCTTCAAACCGAAACGCATTACTGCTTCACGGCAGAAATGGGCAGGGTGGTGATACCTACCCGTGCGGACTCACAAGGGGTCCTACCATCAGTAATTACGCAAATTATAATTTTGCGGGCTTGATTTTTGTTACACGATGTTATTCCTTCACTGCGGGATAGTCAGTGGTGAACATTTCTTGAGNAGTATAGTTACAACGGCTGCCCCACCCTTCAAACCGAAACGCATTACTGCTTCACGGCAGAAATGGGCAGGGTGGTGATACCTACCCGTGCGGACTCACAAGGGGTCCTACCATCAGTAATTACGCAAATTATAATTTTGCGGGCTTGATTTTTGTTACACGATGTTATTCCTTCACTGCGGGATAGTCAGTGGTGAACATTTCTTGAGTACGTATTTCACTAGAAAAATTGGTACCCGCCTGAGATTCGAACACCGGTGCATCGCTCCACACGAATGTACCAGACGTCTTATCCTTTAGGCCACGACGACTTCAAATTTAAATTACTTGGGGGTTTGATTTTTATCACAAAATATTATTCTTTCATCCTGGAAGTTATTCCTGAACGGTATCTATTAGCTCTAAGTATAGTGGACGCACACTTACTAGAAAATAATTAGTACACCTCGACAGAATACTAAGAATTTTAATCAAGTTTCTGACTACATCTAGTAATCGAAACCGGACTTCTTAGTAGTCAGAGTCAACCAATAGACCAACAAACATATCGGTTGAATTTGTAATATTTGAAGTTGAAATAAGAAGAAATACATTTAACATTCGGTATGTGCGACAGGCTTCACATCTCGGCTTTGTGTGGCAACCCTTATACTAACGCTTTGTTTTCAGTTGAAAATTGTACACAATATACATCTATATAGATAAAGGCTTTTCACCGAGAAATGACTAATGGTATTGAAAAATTATTTTCGGGGATGAAAATTTATCTGCTTGGCTTATTGTTCTCGACGACACATTGTCGTTTTATTTGACAGTTTTAATGGTAGATAATATATTACAGGACAAATATTCTTCACTATTATTTTATTAAAAAATCATAGCCCGAAAATTTACGGGCGATGAACCTTGATTAGACCCAGAAATTATTAATGTTATTGAACAGCCCTTGTAAGTTCATCCACGGAAACGACGGCTCTGCATATTCTAATGTTAAAATGCTAATTTTCTCCTCACCAATTAATACAGTATTCATATATTATGTTCGCTTTGTTAAGCGACATTCACATTTAGCTTTAACTCATCTATATATTAGTACGTGAAGCAAAAACTTAGTATCCCTTTTTACGAAAATTGCGCGGACGGAGGAGTATGAAATTTTCCACACTTATAGAGAATATAGAGATGAAGTGCACAATGCTAATATTTTTTTAAAATAATGCATAAAAGATACATTAAATCAATAAAGAAAACATTACACACACTACATACCATGTATTTGACGCACACACGCATGCATACTATTTATTGTCAAACTTTTATTCTTGACGTCTGTGGTCAAATTGAGAATAGATTAAATAAATATTGTTTGTCTTTATTAATATTTTTTTATAGTNGAAGTGCACAATGCTAATATTTTTTTAAAATAATGCATAAAAGATACATTAAATCAATAAAGAAAACATTACACACACTACATACCATGTATTTGACGCACACACGCATGCATACTATTTATTGTCAAACTTTTATTCTTGACGTCTGTGGTCAAATTGAGAATAGATTAAATAAATATTGTTTGTCTTTATTAATATTTTTTTATAGTGTAGCCTTGGCGAAATTTGTGATTATAGAAGTATAAAATAAAATCTTATTAGTGTACAAACTTACAATTCCAATTAATTATAGTCGAATTTCGACTACTGCGGGACCTCTAGTAAGTTTAATTGCAAGTGTTTGACAAACATTTGGCAAAATCATTCATTTACTTCAATATTTACCTCAAGATATATTGAAATATAAAGATTTGGATTAAAATTTTATCGAGTTAGTAAAAAAGGACTATATTGTGCTAATTTAGACAAAAATAATCTGGTACTCGCGCATGCTAAAAAAACCAATGCATTCTATGTATTAATATTTTTGAAGTGAAACTTAAGACTGTTACTCATAGCTTGAGTTCCCCCCTTGGCTGAGCCTTTGCTCGCCCACCAGTAATCCGTCAACACAAAAAAATATATTTGAGTAATTTGCTAAATTCTCGCTTCCGAGAAACACATCATTTCGCAGGCCCTACAATAACAAAAGGATTTCTATTGTTATTCTAATATTTTAGTCGAGGAAAAATGACATGGAACACAAATATAATTGAGTGAATTTTGAGGTTTACTTAAACCAGTACAAAAACAAGGTTTGCGTTTGCACCCTACGTTGATATAAGTAAGTAAACGTTCTCGCTGAGAGCGTGTTTTATAAAGTCGCATAAGCCTCGGTGAAATTTCCACAGAAAGAGGTGTTTTAAGGCGGCAGCTCATATAAACGCCACGAAATTGCTGTACCACTGAAAAGTAATCCTTTGGAGTTCTCTACACGGAAAATATCGCTGGAGCCTTTAATGGCAAAATAAACTTGGATATCATTAGCCCAGACAGCAGCGTGTAATAAATACTTCCTTTACTGATTGTATTTTTAAATAATTCAAATGACTTCCGTAAACTATAAAGTTATAATATAAACGTTTTAAAACGTTTTTTAAAAGATGTCTAGCTCTTCACAGAATCTGAACAAAAATTATGTGAGATTCTAATTCAATTTAATATTACAATAGTTTAATGGATGAGTTCTCGACCGGCTTGTTATCAAATGGTTACGTAAGCCCATAGACTTCGCAATGTGGATGCCCTTATTCACCTTGGGACACGAGGTCAAAGTCTCAATTGTCTCAATTGTACAACATTTCGTTAAAAAGCGAGATATTCGACGCCATTTGACAAAAAAATACGCGAAATTCACTTCGCTAGATTTTTTAAATATATTATTATCTCACTATCTCATGTATGTAGCGACGAACATTCGATAAAACTAGTAATAAAAGTAAGTTTGTGACGCCTATAATAGATGACCTTTAAAATATTTATAACTCGTTGCTGGTCCGGGGAATTCTTCTTCATCGTTTTCTCATTACTGAGGATAAGGACTACACGTAAGTCTTTCCATGAATACCGATCCGCTGCGAGGTGGACCGCCTTTATAATGTCCTCCTACTGGTATACTTAGTCTGGCCATAAATACTGTTACAATTAAAAATAAACAAAATATTACATTTGAATTTGCAATCTGTCATTTTTATATGATTGCTCATTGAGTTTTCTCATTTTGGCGCCGATACATTGTACAATATTTTGCGATATTAAAATGGAGTAGGGTGATAAAGAGAACCGAATCGCTGTGATTGCATTACACAAAGTAAGTATTATTTTTTTTTGGTCAGGAGGAAATCGCCGGACTTCCGTCCTCCACTGGGGACGGCGGGCGGAGCATGTCCGAGTCGAACCGACTAAAACCTCCTGTCGCTCAACAACCAACGTCCAAACCTCGCATGAGACAGAACTCATGAAAAGGCAAAGGGGGGAAAGTGAAGTGTTTAGTGCGGAGCATATCTCTCCCATCACCCTCCCCCTCGGGACGCCGGACTGGCGGTCGTCGGCGCCACGACCACCAGCCCTCTCGGTCGGCAGGCTATCCGGAGCCCGCCTAGATGGCGCCGGTTAGAATGGGTTATCCTACGGAATACTCCGCTGGGTCAGAACCAGCGTGGGTCGAGGATAGCCGGCCTTCCATCACCCGGATGCTCTTGCGTAAAACGCGTGCAGAGCAGCTTGCACGTCGTCTTCTTAGGTCCCCCTTGCCGGTCCGCAGACCGACATGTGAGGGGGACCCGAAACACTTAGAGGGCCAGGGCTTGGGCGAGATCCGCCTCCCTGGCCCCCGCTCGCGGGCTTGCGCGTCTCTAACGCGCCCCGCCGCCTCTTCTTGCGAGATGGTGCACTCGCAGAAGTCGAGCATCGCCTTCCACGACTCGTCGTCGCCGAGCATCGATGCCACAACATTCGGCAACGACAAGTCGTTTCCTATTTTTGCGACGAGGACACGGCGCCACCCCTCCCGTGCGGGGCAGGCGACGAGCGTATGCTCTGCCGTGTCCAAGTCGCAATTACAATGGTGGCACTCTGCCGTCGGCTCGGCTCTGATCCGGTCCAGGAACTCACCGAAGCAACCATGCCCAGTGAGCACCTGCGTGAGCCGGAAAGTGAGGCGTCCTCTGTCACGATTCACCCAATCCACAAGGACTGGGCGAATCGCCTCGACGGTCCTACGACCAGCCGAGGGCACCCCTCAGCACCCAGTCACACCCGATATTCCACAAAAGAGGGCCGAGCACTGACCCCTGTGGAACACCGCGCACGACCGGGAACCGGTGCACGATCCCACCGTGTCCGGTACATGTG